AACAGTGCAATTAGTTATTAAAATTAGTTATTTACCTTAATAAATGGGCGTGGTCAATAGATCGATGAAAATTGCATAAAATTTTTGATGATGATTCAAATCGATTCTGTAAAATATCGTTTATATCGATAAAGAATCGATATATCGCCCATCACTAATTATAGCTGATCCCAAAGATACTTAAGCTGTTTCAAATGACATACCACCTTGATCTACTAAGTCTAAGCTTTGCAGCAATGCCAAAGTTGTAGGTAAAAGAAGTCTAGTTTAGAAGAAATCGCGTTCGGAAATGGATGGTGACCGGAAGTGAGTGTTTGACCATAGATATTAGAGTAAATGAAAGGGATTGGAAACGAAAGCGTGGGCGTAGCCCAACCTCCATTCATTTGTATTGCTGCTAGGCTGACAGAGGCTCGTTGAAATTTCTGTAACAATTTACCCTTGATTTTCTTTCTTTTAGGAGCAATATCTCGCAAACAAGTGTTCCTATGCAAGTGAAATTAATGCATCAAGAAGCCTAATGTTTCCTCTTTATAATTCTGTTTTCTATTGTACAGATAATTTTACCATGTTAATGCTATGGCACTTTTAAAGCCATAAAATGTATTTTTTGTCATTATAATCCCTTTTTTGAAAACAAGCTAGAGTAAAATGCAATATCTTTATAATCATATGAAAGAGTTTCCATTTGCATATGGAATGATACTAGTTAGGGTTAGAACCCATGAAGCATGAGTTTGTTACAACAGAAAAAGGGCGAAAAGTGAAAAAATTTTGTTGTACCTATAACTCGTTGCAAAATAGCGTTGTAGAAGTAAAAACCTTGCTGCAGGTAGTCCAACACTTTCTATATGGAACGGTAGGTATATCATAAGTAAGCGTCCTCTTGGATCTCCATAAATATCCTTCGAAGTCCTTGCAGTACAGCCTCATTAATGGAGGAGATGGGAAATAAACCAGGTTTTGGGCCGGTAACCAATAGCAACATCAACCAGCCTACGCCCCCGTTTCCAATCCCTTTCATTTACTCTAATATCTATGGTTTGACTCTATAGACCTCTTTGGGTGAGAATGAATTACGTCAAAGAATGATATACGGCAAGGGGCGTGACTGAGCCTGGCTGACTCTGAAATAATTTTCGTGGACGGCAACTTTCTATGGAGTATGAATGGGCTAATGCAGAAAGCAAGCTCTATAGAGATGTTTCCCCGTGGGCGTTAATTGAGGGGTGGAGCCTCGTGTCGGCCATCTTGGTTGGCAAAAAGGCCTATGTGCACGAGCAAAGCCATGTGTATGCAGGTGTGTTTTTATAACAGCAATGGTGGTATGCAGCCACACCTTTACATTGCTGCAGCATGCAGTGCAGCAATCATGCTGGAGCTTCTTCTCTGTCTAAAAAAAAACAAAAAATTCTCTGTCTCAAAACATTCACTAAGTTTTTACATGCTGAACTTGCTTCTTTTTTGTCTCAAAACTTTCACTAATTATTTTTCTCTTAATTTATTAAAATTGTTACACACAGATACATGTGGCAAGGGTATGCACTTTAGTGCTCTCGTCAGAAATTCGGCCACCTGCACATTTAGAAATATAGGAAATGGTACCCTGTGGATATATACCAATCAAAAATTTTATCGTTGAATGATGCTTATAATTACTCCAAACTTGTGCTCTTGCCATCAAGTCACTTGGTCGTTCAACAAATACTTCAGAGCAGTCAATGACAACAGCACAC